TCACGAATCATTTACTATTTTTTATTATCGTCTACGTCTACAGTCTACTGCTTTGTGCCGCTTAACCGATGCATTGATTTTTTTTCAGGCTGTATACAATTAAAATGTGTGGAAGAAGAAGAAAATCTACTTTCTCAAAAAAAAGAAGAAGAAGAAAATCTTTGCACGATCACGATATAAAATATTAAGCGTTTCTATTTCTTCCATGTATAAAACAATATTTTACTTAATTTTGAAAAAAATATTTTACTTAATTTACTTTTATTTTTAAAATATAGATTTTTACTTGATCACTATTCACGTAAAAAAGGAAACCAAAAGAGGCTCGCTCGAGAGGGACCAAAGATGTCGTGAATGGCACGCGTTCCTTTTCTTACAGTGTTCAAATGATTGGTGAGTACTCTGTTTCTGTTTCCTGTTAAATCCTTGTCAATAACATTCAGCTTTTAATTTTCTCAACAAAAAAACATTCAGCTTTTAAACTTTTCTTACCAAACAGTCAACACACATTCTGTCTCTCTTTTTACCAACGTGGCGTAGATTTTTACCACGGCATGCAAGCATTTAATTATATTTTAAAGGGAAGTTGACTCGAATGACTCAGATTAGTTCAGAAAATACTAGAATAGACCATAAAAATCTAAAATTACTAAAAAAAAAATTGGGTCGAAAATACCCTTGTTTCCTGTTATGAACATAATTTCATATTATCAAATTGCCATTGTTATTTTTTTAAAAATCGCCGAGGGTAGATTTATTAAACGAAAAATAAATCTATCGGGATATAAGTCTGTCAAACAAAACTATTGTTAAATTTATATCTGTCGTTTATTTGGTGGTAGATTTTTCGGTCACGGCAGATGTTTTTAAGGACGGAAGATTTATAATTCCGATTTAAGGTTGTCGAGAGATTTATATTTTTAGTCTGTCGAATGAAGTAACCAATTTTGTTGAGATCGTCAGTTTTTTTCAGAGTAGTTAGAGTTTTGAGATAGATATGTTAATGGGTAATAGACTTATATATTTATGACCGATTTTATTAACCGATTTAAATTTGCGATAGATTTTTATATTCATTTGGTGGCAGATGTTAGTAATTGTAGTCTTTGACGGCATACTTATTGAAAAACAATTAATTACTAGCGTGGGACAGACCGATTTTTTGTCCAAAATTCACATATATTTCGAGTTAAATTAAGTGGATTCTGGTTTATATTAATTGAATTTGGTTTTAATTAATTTTGAAGTTTGGTTAAGATTTGTTTTCGGTTTAACTTAATTTAAACCAATTTTGAACCTAGAGATTTAGGTTAAGAGTCATTAAGACCATGTTTTCCAATTTCAGTCTTAACTTCTTTGTCATCTTCTTCCTCCCCTCTCTTTAAACAACACATGCTCCTCTCTTTCATGGTGATTTACATCTGCTTCTTCCATATTGAGTTAAGACCAAGTGTAATCCATCTCTTTTAATAATCCTCTTGAAACTTCACTGCTGTTTCCTCCCTCTATTATAATATCAACAAACATATATATCAGTCACATTCATCCCTTACAATCTTTCTTTTACTTTCTTATTGACCAACATTAAGAAGATTTTTAATTTTTTATACAAAAAAAATTGTAAGCATTTAAATAAATAGAATGTTTGTCCAAGCAGTCCTTTTGTATATATTTTATTAATAGATTTATACACACTACAACAGTTTGATTTTCATAAATTCAAAAGTCTTAACAGTGGTTTTTGACCAACATAGTCTTCCATATAAGGAAGACCATTGTACAGAATTACAGAGATAACAAATTAGACATAAAAGGATCACAAATCATCAATGAGATTTCCTACACGTCCTATGTTACACAACAAGAACGATCTCTGATTTGAGACGTAAGAGATGAAACATCAGATGGCTAGAGACTTAAAGAAACCAAATGCAGGCTAAGAAGAGCGAATCATTAAACGTAATTACAGCAAGCTGATTTCTCAGTTGTAGTAGAAGACGATGAAGCAGTATTTTGCTTAGTGATCTTGAGGCTGTAAAGAAACAGTACATAATGTCGTTACTCAGATATACTGTCTGTATAAAGATAATATGAAGAATGAGTTCAGTTTCTTACCTCTGCCTTTGTATCGGTTTCTGTCAATCTTTGTTTAATGTCTTTTGCGATAGAGAGGAAAACAGATTCCACATTAAGGTTTGTTTTTGCACTCTGCAACAATTTGTAATCACTATCAGTACTCATCAAACATAAAGAGCACAGACACATGTTATGTTTTTACTCACGTCTCAAAGAATTTGATTCCATACTCATCAGCTAAATCTTGGCCTTTTGCTGTTGGGATAGCCTGAGAAATAAGATCAAGAATCAGTATGATACTACAAGGTAATGAAAGCTAAGTATGCAAGTGAAGATTACTACTTACCCTTTTGTTTTCATCCATGTCAGCTTTGTTACCGACCAGTATTTTGTTGACGTTATCTGAGGCATGCTGCTCTTGGTCAAAAAGTAGTGAACATATTTTGCAAACCAAGTGTAATCCATCTCTCTCGATTTGGGAATTAGGGTTCTTGATTTGGGAATTAGGGATTTCAAATTGAAAATTAGGGTTTTTCTTCAATCAATCGATCTATGCTAACAAGAGATGAAATGGAGGAATGAGATATCTTACTAGATTCTTTCTCGGCTGTGAGACGACACCAATTGACGATGACAGAGGTGGAGGACGGAGGTGAACTCGAGTTTTTCTTCCTCGGCTGTGAACTCGAATCTATGGTGAAGTAGAACTGTGAGACAACATGAGAGATGAGAGATGATTCAGAATCGAGTTTTGTCACCCAAAAACAGATGGAGGAGTGAGAGATGAGAAATGAGTCGGAGATGAGAGATGTCGAAGAAGAAACGTGAACTCGATATGTTTGTTCTTTTATTTGTTTTTTTTTTTTACTTTTTTATTTATTTAAAATCATTTGTGGAATGTGTGGCTTTTGGTAATTTAGATGGTCCCTTGAGTCATTTTAGTTTTTACAATCTTATATGAGTTAATCTAGTATTTTCTCAATTAATTTGAGTCATTTTGAGTAATTTCCCTATTTTAAATCAAGCCATTTTCATTTTGAAAATGTAACTTATACAAATAGAGGGATCCCTACAAATAGATGGTATTATCTGTCTTTCGAGGACATCGATATGTCATTATCCAATATATATATATATAGATATGAAAGAGTACTGAAATCATGTTTTGTGTCCATATTAGAGAATGCGAACTAATTAACCAAGTGTGAAAAGCACTTTATGCTTTGGCCCGTCAAAGCAATATCATGATTAATACCATAGATCCCAAAGATAAAAGTGATTTTAAAATGAAATAAAGTATGAAAATGAGTTGGAGAAATGATGACTTAGATCATCCCTATGAAACACGCACGCCTGTCTTTGTTACTCAACGGGCTAAAAACCTCAAATATGATTCGGACCAAGTTAACAAGCAAAATCAGAAACGGAGAAGTATGGCTCAGTAAATGGTGTTCAAGCCCATTTATATAGTAGTAGATATGGCTGGACACAAATACTCGATATTTGGTTTGTATTCGCTATTTGATTTGGTTAGATTTGAAAAAATAAATACTTATTATAACTAAGTCGAGTAGTAAGTAAACTGATTTTATTACTCGTAAGTACGAAGCAAGTATCAAATTCATTTTTATTTTTAACTACTTGACTTGTTATTAGGTTTGTTATTTGTTATCATTTACATGTCTCATTATTTTTTAAATATTACTTGATTTATTAAATATTTAATATCTATTTTATTAGTTAATTAAAATTTATGTATTACATTTTATTGGAGACGATTATTACTCGTTACTTGTCTTTTATTCAATACTTGATGGATATATGATCTTTAGAAATTAGTATTTGTTATGAACAAGTTCAGTATCAAATAATATATTTAAATTACTTATAAGTATAAAACAGTGGTGGATCTAGAATATTTTTATAATGGTGGCAAAAACTATTTTAAATATAATTTTCATTAAACTATTTATGTATAAAATTACACTATAAAAAATTAAAAACAAAAAATTATTTATATCAAATATTGTTTAACAACATATATATATATTGACTTAAAATGATATTTCCATTATAATAGATGGGTTTACTCTTTTAATATCTTTAAAAGTAAAAATATTTAGAAGTAAATATTAATTCTTCGAATTAGTTATTCAGCACGTAACTAAAATAAGAATGATTAAATAATAAAAATAAGCTATGGTGGAATATATCATAGATTCACAAATACGTTGAAATACTAGAAATAATGACAACTAAATTATGCAGTATAAGAGAAGTAGATTCGAAAATAGTTTATAATTTATGCTAGAATTAAACTAACTAACTTTAAATACGACCCAAAACAAAACAAAAAGGTGATTGAACATAAACTAACGGGGTCAAAGACTTTCTGTTAGTGGGGGCAACAAACCAATGTAGTCAGCATTACTTCTTATTATGGTGGTATTTTAAATATTTTGAAAATTTTAATGGGGCAGCTGCACCCTTCTTACGTCAAGTAGATCCGCCCTCTGTTCGGGAAAGCGCTAGGCGCTAGTCGGGAGGTCGGGTTGGGTCTAGCGCCTAGAGAAAAAATCGGGGATTAAACGGAAATTATGCGGGGCAGAATTTTAAAATTATTTATATATTATGAACAATGTTTGAGGTTGTACAATGAGTATACACGGCAGAGTGGTTAATTCCGCTTGGAACAACCAACCAGTGTCGGGTTCAAAGCCCATAGCAGACTTTTTAAAAAAAAATTTACACATTTTTTATATCAATTTGGGGCATAAAGGTAATTTTATTATCATCTTCCACCTGACCTAAATGTTTCTGTGTGTTTAAAGTGTGCGGCCGCAATTGAATTTCACCTTCGTTTTTGTCGATTTAATCACATAATCAACTCGTTTTATCATCAAAAGGGTAAAGCATATATGAAACACATGTTTTTGAGTCAAGTAACACATGTTTTCTTACATTACCGTGTTTTCTTCCGATTTGAATCAAATCGCGACGGTTCCCCTCCGCCAAGCATATAACCGGCGAGTAAACGGCCCTAGGCGGCGCGTTTTCGAACAGAGGATCCGCCCATGGTATAAAATCAATATTAAAATATTAAACAAAATAATTATTTGATATTGTTTTGTTTGTTGCTTGTGTTTGTTAAAGAACAAATATATATTTTCCTAAATCATAGTAAAATAACGTATTTCTATTTCCACTTTCATAAGTACATCAAACATAAGTACTAGATTTATATAAGCATCTTGAAGTTTGTTTTTCTTATATGGTCTATTTTCTGAATGACTTAAATACAAGAACACAATGATATATTATTTATATAATAAATTTATTTAATTTTAAATTTTAATGAACTATCAAATAATTTACCAATAAATATGACTCAATTTATAAGTAATTTACAAGTAACAAGTTATAAAATAAGTCAAGTAACTTACAAGTCTTTCAATTTTTTGTAAATACTTGAAACTACAAGTATTTGTTTTTAATAAATCAAGTACAGATTAAATATTTACTATTTGTATAAGTTAAGCCGAGTACTAAATATACCAAAAATGTCGAGTACTTGGTTTATATCCACCCCTAATAATAGGTAAATACAATCACAGAACATAAATCTATTTAAAATTATTTTTCTGACGTTCCAGTCATTTTTAATTTTTTTTTGCTCTATTTGTTAACTTTTGATTCCACAAATGAGGATTTATCTGCACTTATTTATTTTCCTAATTTTAAAAATTATTATGTGATAAAGACGACATTTATTCTTATGTACGCCAAATAAAATTCATATATACTTTTACTTTAAATATAGAAAAATATTATTTCTTGAAAAAGGAAAAAAAATCATCTCTAATTTTAAGAAAAAAACTTAAAAGAAGTTAGATTAACTTTTTTATATCTATACTATTAAAAGTTAATTATTTTAAAAATCTACTATAAAATTGGTTGGACCTATATATAACTATTTATTATTTTCTGTCCTGCTATAATTATTTTAAAAATACAATATCTTAAATGAATCATATTATTATTCTTTATTTCATGTAATACGTTTATTCTGTTATCAACAATATGGTTATTATGCAATACCATTAGATATTATATCTTATGTTCAATAATATCATCTATTACACAATATATAATATCATGTCATCTTATATTTTTATCATTTGTAATATTTACAGTATCAAATTTGATTAAATCACTTAGCAAACCATCTGTTAAAATATATATAAATATATTACATTAAATTAGTTTTTATATATATATATATATATTTATAGTAAAATTTTGTTATTTGATATAAGTTTAAAATTTATTAAAACCCCTAGAAATTTCTATTATTAAATCAGTCAAAATTCTAATAAGAAAAATTTAAGTCTCATTAATTTAAGAAATATAACTCTTATAAAATGCACTCAGTATATGATGAGAGAAAGAGAGTAAACATGGACATCAAATTTTCGAGTTGGGTACCGATCGGTTCATTCTAAGTCTGGATTTCTCAGACTTTAGAGATTTGAATCTAATTAGGTGTTTGAAATTTTTGTTTTAATTTAAGATTGGTTCCTTTCGGATCCAACTTCATAATTCAAATATATTTAATTTTTGGATACGTAATGATTCAGATCGGTGCATATATTTAAGACCAAAAACGTATTTGAAATATTCAAAAAAAATTGAAAATACTTGCAAACCTAAAAAAAATATCCAACACGAATACATACCCCAAAACTCAAACAAATAAAAAAAAAATCAAATATCAAGAAAGATCCAAACTTTTACCTGAAATATGAGCTAAAGAACCAAAAATACTTAATTCTAAATAAATATCCAAAATATGTTTTTAAAATTTTACATGAAATCCAAAAGTATAACCGAAAACCCAAACGTGAATATATCTAATATACATAAAATATTTTGGATACTTTAGATATCCGATCAAGTCTTAGATAGGATTTGGACTTGAACATAGATTTGTGAGTCCAAACACTTACCAAAGATAATTAATTTGGATCCGGATCAAAACACACATGAATCTTTATTTTTGGGTTTATTTTGTTAAGGACTAAAAAGAATTATATAAGAGTGTATATACAAAATATTAAGGAAATTAATTCATAAATTGTATAACTTTAAAAATGTTATTTTCAATATAATACGATTTTGTCATATATATATACTAATATATAACAATAAAAACTTATAATACTTTATATTAAAATTTGTTTATAATCCAAAATAATTAGGCATGGATCAAAATTTTGTACTCTATTATAGTAAAAAGTATAAGTGTGTGGGAGGATGTTCTAAAGAATAAGTTGAATCATACGAAAAAAAGAATGAGTTCACAAAGCCACAAGTCGTGGAACCTAGTAGCCGGCATCGTCTTACCGATCATCACTCTCCTCTTCTCAGCTCCTCTCCTTGGCCACGCCTTGCATCTCTTCATCATGCGTAACCACCACAAGTACGACAACAACTCTGACTACCTCAACTACCACACGATGCCACGTGTCCAGACCCTAATCAGCCTCTCTCTCCTCGCCGTGTTCCTCTTCAGCAACGCCGCTCCGTTTCTCCGGCCACGACGGCTCGGCTTCCCCAAGTTATTTCTATCTATTGGCTTCATCATCTGCGTGGCTTACGCCGGTGTGAACGATCTGCGGTACAACCGATTGTTTTCTTCGCGACCAAAGTGTTTCAAGGCAGAGTATCCTTCCGGACAACGCAAATGGGAACAATATCAAGTGGTTAAGATAGAACAAAGTCAATGGCGTTTTCAAAGAGTTCAGTTACGTTTTGTCAGCAGCTATTACTTACAACCCTTCGATAGACGAGTGTTACCTTACATCCAGGTACTTACGAATCAATTACGCCGTTTTTTGTTCTGAAACAATATTCTCTATATCATAGATTTAGTATACTCCTCCTAGATAACAAGTTTGACACAGTTTAAGATGGCTTCAGATTTTGTTTGAATAGGTCGTTGAATTATTTTATCATTTTAAAATGGTTGCTTTTTATCTCTCTCGGTATAAAATGTAGGGTTTTTAATACTTCAGACGTTCAAGCCACCTATATAGTCTCCCTGTTTACAGATAACTAGGATAAGACCCGCGCCTTGCGCGGGATGAAGCTATATATTATTGTTATTATGTTTTTAAAAACGAAATAATAGTTCGGTTTCATTCGGATTAGTGGTGTTCAATCCGGATATCGGGTTTCGGTTCGGCTCGATTTTTTGGTATTTCGATCATTAAAATATAACTACTATTCTAAATCTATATGTACTTCAGTTTGATTTGGTTTATATACCATCGGTTTTCAGTTTATTCAATTTTATACCAAAAACATAATTATTTAGTTTGAGATCATATTATATATTATACAAATATATAATATGATCATATTTAGAGTCATATTGTCACAGAGTCATTTATTAAAAAAATATNATCATTAAAATATAACTACTATTCTAAATCTATATGTACTTCAGTTTGATTTGGTTTATATACCATCGGTTTTCAGTTTATTCAATTTTATACCAAAAACATAATTATTTAGTTTGAGATCATATTATATATTATACAAATATATAATATGATCATATTTAGAGTCATATTGTCACAGAGTCATTTATTAAAAAAATATAATATATTTAAATAAAAGAATAAAAAATAAAAAAAGCTTCTATCATCTAATAAAATGATCAAATCTAGAATTAATATCAAAACACTAAATTTTGAAAATAAAAATAAAAATAAAAAAACAAAACAGAAGCATGAAAGAAAGTTTTTATATTCGTCCATATTTAGTGTTCATCAAACCAATATGTCTTCAATTGAACACAACTCTGTTTGTTTAAAGATAAAAAAATGTTGTAAAGAATTTCAACTAATTGTTGTCCATCAAATTTATAATCTTTACTTCAATTTAGTTACTGTTAAAAAAGCAAAAAATCAAAATAAGAAGTCTTAGTTGCAATAAATTGTTAGCTATTTACAAATTATAATTATAGTTCAACTCATATAACAAATAGATATTCATGCGTAGTTATAAATATATACATATTTACATGTTTCAGTTTAATCGATTATAAATCAAACCATATCAAAATCCTATGGTTTTTATAAAATCACATCCATTCGGTTTTTATGGTATATACCAAAAATAACCATATTATCGATTGTTAATATTTTTTAAAAATATAAAATTAAAAAAAAAAGAACTAAGATATTTAAATCATTGATAACAAAAAATTTCAATGTGAAAAATTTAATAAGTTTATAATTTATAAATGTTCTTGAAAATTTATTGAAAATTTTGAAATTAAAATATTTATGTAATCTTATATGGTATATAGTTTCATTTGTATATATATATATATATATATATATATATTTGTTTTATTATTGAATGATACTTTTTACTTATATGGTTTTAAAATCATGTATATCTTTTTATAATAAAATGTTAAACTATTGATCATGAATTTTTAACATAATAATTTTAATAGTTTAGTTATTTATTCTCGTTTCTTAAAATTCAAAATATAACCTATACGAAAAAATCTAAAGTTTAATTTTATAGCTAATTTGATTGTTTAATTTATTTTAATAATATAAAATTAAAGAAAAATGATGGAGGATATATAAATTGTTATCAAATATTTATTATTAGAATCATTAAGTGTCATATATATATATATTAGTCATTTATGGTAATTCCGTAGGTTTTATTTATGGAAAGAAAATAAAATAGTAATTATATTTTAGGAAACAATCATTAAGTGTCATATATATATATTAGTCATTTATGGTAATTCCGTAGGTTTTATTTATGGAAATAAAATAACATATCATATCATTATATCATATAGTTTGACTAACTAATGTATCTAGTAACCTATAAAAATTCAATGTGGACTTACTTATTTTTCAATTGAATCTAATTGACTACCTAATTGAATGACACCTATGCATTGGGGCCTCTTTTAATTAATACAAAATTAAGGTTACATCTTTTCAAATGTTCCTCAATTAATATATAGGGGATATTATTGACTGTGATTAATGATAACTTTAACAAACAATAATTTAATAAATTCAATTATTTTTTTAAAAAATAAACATTTAACTTTTGAAAAGAACAATCTTCAAAACAAATTAACCATTTTTCTTAATCAAAACAGCTCGTATATAAAGAATAAAAGACCAACTTAATCTTTATAAATGATACATATAATATAAATATGTATTTAAAATTATTTTTTCAACATAAAAACAATTTAATATTTTAACACTAAATCCTAAATTCTAAACCATAACTCCTAATCTCTAAACCCCATCTCCAAACCCTAATTCCTAAATTACTTAACTTTAAGATATATCTTCTTTTTTTACCTTTTAACGAAAGCTATATTTGTGATCTTTTTCTGTGGTACTATTTTTTAACATAATCATATTTTAGAATTATCATAGGATATTTCTCTTTTCTAATATAAACCCAAAACGTTACTCATTTCTTCCAATCAAGTAAATTTTCTATATGCTTATAATATTTGTAAACATAAATGTATATTTCACCACAATATTTCGTTTCATATTTACAGAAATATTAAAACTGATAATATTTTTATATGCAAGGCTTAATATACATGTATATGGAAAAATTTATTTGTTGTACTTGATTTTTGCTGTTGTATATTAAGCCTGGATGCTGCATGCGACCGGGGAAATGCGAACTTGAGAGGGTGAACGCAACGTTGGGGATTACAAGAAACCGTGAAGGACCACCGTTGGATACGGCGATGATATACGGTCGCCACGGTGGTGAGGCAACGATAAGAGATTATTACGATATGTGGAGGAACGAGTTGAGCGTATTGTACTATGATTGTATGACGTGTCAGGTCAAGATCATCAAATCTCCACGGCTGCGTAAATGGTGGCAGCTCGATGTCTTCTTCTCATCTATCACCTGTCTGCTTGATTAGATCTGTATTCTGACGTGAGACTTTTAATGATTTAATAGTTTAGCTTTCGATTTACGGTTTTTGTATCACGAGGACTTTTTTTTTATTTTGTTCTTTTTGCCTTGCAAAATAATATAGTTCTCGGTTTCTATCATATGCTCATTTAGAATCAAATGTGAACACACAATGGGTGGTCTAGTGATATGAGTAATTTAGACTCGAAACAATCCCATGACACTAATCACATATGACCATGCGAAAATAAGACTATGCTTTGGATTTTATTTAAATATCTAGAAAATGATTTATTTGTGGGTTGTATCTTTCTGATGATTAGTCTAAGTCTTTTCGGAATACTCCAAGTTAGTAAAAAAGAGTACTTAGTAGTACAATGTTTTTGGTTTGTTGCATTTCAATATATTATTTGTGAGTTAAAAGATCTGGTGTCTAGTGGTAAAATACTTGAGGAAGCAATGAAATCTCGTCATCTCTGGTCCTTAACTTTTTGATTAACACAAAAGAAGAAACATATTCACGTTAGAGCATCCATATTGGTGAACTCCAGGGGGGGTTTCACCAAAAAAAAAAATTGATTTTTAAAATTTTTTTTTTGTTTAAAAAAAAAATGGATAAATGGATTGCCGCCACGTGGCGAATCCCATGTGAACCAGATTCACTGTCATGAACTTTTGTGAGAGAGATTCACAAAAATAATATTATTTTAATTTTTTTTATCTTGAAAAGGATGAACTCCCTATGAGCTTCTAATGGGGATGTTCTTATTTTTTCTATTGATATGTGTTCATAATTTTATATTATTTTTTTGTCAGTTATCTATTTAAGATATTGGTCAGACGAATCAATCACCTCTATCTAACAATAATTTTATAGTATTATGTTTACGCACATTGATAAATAAATAAAAAATGCTAACTCACATAGCAAATTTTGATTTGATACCTAGCAGGCTAGCAACAAAATAATTAAAAAATTTAAACCACATCTAGGTGAAGGCCAAAGTGGTCTTGCAGCCCGACAGAGTCATGGATCAAAGAAGCTTACTCTTTTCTAGCTTTGCCCTAGGCTAATTGATTACTTGGAAAAACAAAAGTGTTTTAGTGAAGTCTCTTTGATATACGAATGTCAGGCAGGAAAAAGGGAATCCCTTTCTACCTAGGCCAGGCAAATGTTCCTGAGAGCAAGCAAACAAAAGTGTCTGTGCAAGGCATCTCTCTCAGCCTATGCTATCTTTTGATCTCCGTGGTTTATCAATCATAGCTATGTAATTTCCTTCCATTTTAATAGCATACTCTTATCAAAATACCATTTAGGTCGTTACAACCACTGCTCATAATCAGATTAAGAACTTCACATCATTACTCTATTATCTTATGGGGCTGGAGAAACTAGTTGGCTTTAAGATCCAAGCAAATGAAAAACGAATAGAAAGAAACTCGGTAATCAAAATATATATAAGAAAAGGTACAATGTAGTTAATTAATTACCCAAAAAAAGAGAGAAGACACTAAAGTATATCATATCAAAGAGAGACTCGCCTAAACAACACACAAGCTTCATAGAAACATTACCTACATGACACAGATCTCTGTTTCATCTTCTTCTTCGTTCTACCAAAAATCGCAAGTGAGAGGGAAGTGTGGTTGGCAGCAACAATGTTTACTCGCATTTAATCGACCTGTAAATGTGGCGGACGAAGAGGAGAGATGCACGGAAGCCAACAGTTCCGAGCATGAGGAAGAAACCGTAACAGATACAAGCCATGTAACCGAAGAAGAAAGATGTTTGCATGAAACCAGACATGTCTGATCTTGCGTAGTAATAGTATAAGCAGTACGCATAGATGAAGAAACCAGTCGACCCACCACATAGGAATGATCTGCAATAAACATTTCAACATAATTATAATAAGATTCAAAATCTCTACAAAGATGTAACACAAAAGCACTTTACCTCCACCACCATTCGTGATCTTCAGCGGCGAGTTGGAAGTAAGTAAGGGCAACAGTTATAAACGCGGTGACGATCAAGAGGATAATGAAGACGATGAAGAGGATGCTGTAAATGGTGTAGATCCTATGACCCCAAACACTGGCAAAGATGTAATACAGCTCGATGTAGATGGCACTGAAAGGAAGAAAACCAGCCATGGCCATCTGAGGTATAGCGCTTCTGTACCATGGAAGCAGCGGGATCTCACGTGGATACTTAGTGGTGCGGACTGGCGCTTGGAACTCAGCTTTGCTGTTTTTACCGGCGATGCCACCCAATACGAGTAAAGGAGAAGTCACTAGTGTCCATATAAGGACGATGACAACAATGGTTCCAAAGGGAAGAGCTGCGGTTGCGCTGTAGGCGATTGCAACGGTGTTTAGGAAGCAGAATGTGAGGAAGAGTGGGCCACAGAAGAGACCTCCAGTGAGTAACAAGTTCCTCACCTGAGAGAAAACAAGTGAGAAGCTTTATTGATTTCTGCTTAAAACTTAAGAGAGTTATTTGAGGGAAAAGGGTTTGGTTGTTGTTTTCTTACCCAGTTCTTTCCTTCGAGTTGACAGTAGAAAGAAGATGCCGTGTATCCAGCGATTCCAGAAGTAAGAGCGTAGATAACGACCAAAGCTGTGAAGAGTGCTCCTCGGTTGTATGGATAGAACACTCCAACAAGTGAAAGCATGAAGATGAATATGGTCCTGATGACATATGAGTGAAACAACTGTTAGTGATCGGCAATAAAAGATGCATGTCAGGAACTGAAGAGGGACTTACAGAGTGAACAGTTGTGTCCCACTGCCGAGAGATGCAGCAAAGAGAGATTTGTGCTTCGGGAACCTAAACACATCCCCATGAATATACTTCCATCCAGTTTCCTCCTGATCATCAGCAGCTTCCTCATCTTGAGCATACCTTCAAGGAAGTGAATCAAAAGTTCATAATCATAATCACCATTGTGTTGAACATGAAAGAGTAATCACCATTTCCAAAAACTTACTTCATGAAATCATTCTTGAGAACCCGCATCAAAATCGTCGCAAGAAAACCCGTCAAAAGCAGAACAGTAACACAAGAATTAATAATCGAAAACCAGTGAATCTCCAAATGATGCGGGAGAGAAGAAGACATGGCATACTTATCCATCCTCTTCTCAAACTCCGTCTCCGTCTCCTTCCACTTAACAGTAACCATAAACTCCGCATCAACTTCCTTATCCTCAGTAAGATCAACAAGCGAATGAGGATCCATCCTCGCATTAATCTCAATCACTCTGTCCTTATTATACAAAATCTCAAACTGAATATGCTTGTAGAGGTAATACTTGAACTCAGTGGGATCAGATTTCCCTTCTTTCTCAACTTTCCCAATGAATCCCCAGATAGGGAGATCGTCATAATACATCTGAAAGTAATAGTCTTTCTCAACGGCTCTTCGGAACTGTTCAACTTCTCCTCTGCTCAGCTTCTTCTTGCAGTAGGTCTCAGAGTCTTTCTCGTCTCTAAAGTTGAGTTTATAAGGAGCGCTTACAAGACGGTCTCCGTTTAGAACCTCACCAAGAGCTTCCTTCTTATCTTTCACTCCCTCTGCAAAAAACAATGAGATATTAAAATGGACAATTCTCTCTAATAGCCTTCTTTTAAGTTTTTATCACAAAAATAGAACTTAAAAATTAATACGACCAAAATTGCTCATTTTATTTTAAAAATTTTAAGTTTTTTCATTTTTTAAACTTCGAAATTTCTAGAATTAGTCAAATGTATATTTAATAAAACATTTAAGTGTTATTTTTGTCATTTTAATTGTTAAGGTCTATATTTGTTAAGATCTGGCCAGTCGTAAATATACATTTAATCGGATCGCACCTGGAACACAGAAGGGAAGATCGAAGTAACGATACGTCTCACTGCAATCAAGCATTATTGATAATTGATAAGATAGAAGAAATTAGAATATTGTTATCGCATGTATAGCTAAAGGATCAATGTACATAGTGGAAGAGAATCTCAGATCTAGAAGTGAGATTTGAGAATTGATTTATTTTATACCTGGGATTGTGAAACGGGCCGACTTTGTTGGCGTAGAGAGGAACGGAGTCGCCTTCTTTGTAGCGATGATCGGAGGCATCGGATCTGACGGTTCCGGGGGCGGAGAAGAGGAGAGCTCCGAGGAAGAGGAGCAGAGTCGTCGTCGGTGTTCTCATGGTGTGTGTTTCTGTGAGGTGAAGAGAGAATGGCGTGAGATCTGAGTTTGATTTTTATATTTTGGGAAAAAACGTAAATGGGACAGAGACGGACTAATATTTATTTTAGTTATTTACTTCTTACCTAATAATCTACAAAATAATTAATTTTTACATCAAGATGTTATTTTATTACTCAAAGGTAATAAAAATAGTGTGAAATAAATAAATATGTAGATAATATTTTCAATTTTTTCCGACACTGATATATATATTTACGTCTATATATAAAATTTACTAAACTAAATTTTATAAATTAATTGATTTATACTGGATTGGTGTGTTATATTTTTAATTCTTTACTGTTTTTATATGTAAAGTTACTAACTCATTTTGTTTTTATTTTATTTTATTTTAACTGAATATATGAGTGAATTAGTTTTTCAACGCTTTGTGGGAAAAAAAAACTTGTGAAAGGCAGATTAAGAAATGGTAGATAACTTGAAGAAATAAAATTTCTTTAGTAGGACTATAACATCTTTCTAATTTATATTATTTTCTACTAGGATTGGTTTGTACATTTATTATTATTTGTTATTTTAGTCAAACTATTTATTTATAATATTATTTTATTTTTTATTTTTTATTAACATTTGGATGTACTGATTGTGAGAATGGTTTTGGCTTTATTTAAAGTTTTGGTTAATGTATTTCGGTTCTTGATTTTTGTTTGTCTTAGAAATTTAGGAACTATATATATAAAAAATTCAAAAAAAAATTTGGTTGAGATAGCAAAGTTGGAAACCTTGTAATAGCCAAAACAATTTAGGTCCGGTTCTAGTTTTTTGGACACTTTGAGATAATATATGTAAAAATATTAGATAATTCCGTATGTTTAGTTTACATGTAAGTTAATTCGTGTTCTTCGGATAAAAATACTGAGTGATGTGGATAACAAATATTATCCAGATAATTCATTTTATAGTATTTATAGGATATTTGATTATTTAGTTTTTCAATATAATTAGTACTTTAAGGTATATAACTTGTATTTTTAAAAACTGAATACCTAAGCGGTATTTGGTTTAGTTCTGGTTCGGTTATGCCATTTCGATTTTAAATATATATATGAACCATTTAGATTTTTGTGGAATTTGATTCAATTTTTATTTCAGTTTTGATGCGATCTGGTTTTTCGATATCAAATAAATCTGTATAAGTCCAATAATTTTATTGTTTGGCAAAATATTAGTGATATATTAATATAGATGTATAAATTCGTTTTTAGAATCCACATTAGTACTCCATGTTTTAGTATTATAATCTTAGTAGAAGAGAATTGCTAGAAACATAAATATATAATTATTTAAAGAGATAACATTATTACTTGGGGGTGATACGAATTGCATCACGATAAAAGGAGATATTGTTGAGTTCTTCAAAAAAAAAAGATATTATGACTTATTTATATCTCAATTATGAGTTTAAGTGGACAAAAAATAAGAATTGTGAGTTTATGTAATATTTTAAACATTATACTTTCTTATGGAGTATGCGATGGAATTATATCACATAGATTTAGTTGTTTGCAAGCAAGTTATGAACCAATACCATCAGTTAAATGATAGCAACATTTCTCAAAGTAAACTCAATAGCTTGCTTCTCGAAAGAATCAATTCCATAAGGAGCCTCTTGTTAGTTGATGAAGACATACGGAGCCTCTTGTTAGTAGGCTGAATTCCATAAGATAAAACAGAAAATCCAATAATTTATTTTTTTTGTCACAAACGAAACGCATAACTTTGATAAATGAACATGTGTCACGCTCTCAGAGAGTTATTTAGTGACATGGAGCTTTCAGGAGGGAGATAACTCTCCTTTATATAATTAGATTGGTAAATTGGTTCATGTTCTTTCATAGTTAAACGGGAAAAAGTTGTGTCGGTATGAAATCAACACCGGCTCTTGTTTGAAACCAAACACTTAATGCCAAAGGGTTGCTGATTATATATTAGTGAACTCTTAATCAAATTACTGATTCGTGCAACCTGAAATTTTGAAAACGCAACTTGTTTTTGTAAAAACTCTTACAATTTATTCACTACCCTCACTTTCATTATTTTCTTACATCCACAATTTTGTTTTTTGAAATTAGCTTTCATATTGAAAATACGCGAAAGGAAAAAATACAAGACACAATTATGTTCCTGGACGTTGTCCAGTAAATTGCATTTGACATAAGCTCATAATATAAAGGATCTACATAGCTTTCATGTTGGAGGTTTAGGGTGGCCCAACAAGGGTTGATTAAAAGCCCATTACTAATATCACAGCTCAACATATCCAATCATATCATCAGTAACTAATAAAAATGTGTTTAGAAGTTTTTAACAAACATGTTTATATCAAGTAACTGTGATTAGTATGCTTAATAACTACTTTGACAGAGAGAGACAGAGGCACAGATCAACTAATAAAAATACATATTATCTGGTTTCTTGGTTAGAGTAGTACAAGTTGAGAGAAAAATGGACAAGTCGATCCACAAGTCTTATCTTACGTCGTCAACAAGTAGAGAAATCGTTATCGCAAAAAAGATGAGATTATTGTTGTTGTACTTGTTGCTTAAACAACTAGTTCGCTTATATTACCCGTTTATTTAATACTCTCACAATTAATGGAAAAAGTCGCGGGGAAAATTAAAATAAAAACAATCGCGTCACGTCACGTCTTCCAATAAATAAGAGTAAAGATGGAATAATCTAACATCGAAGCGAGAAGGATGGGCTCCATTGAAGAAGAATCACCTCTCATCGAAGAAGGTTTAATCTCACAGGTTTGATCATCAATTTATCTCTTAGGGTTTTCTTTTCGCTTTGAATTTATGGAATCTGGACTTTGATTTTTCGCTCTCTCTTAGGGTTTTCATTTCAACAAAATCTTGACTTCAGCTTGAATTTGCTGATTTTAGGCATGTTTTTTTCTGGGTTTGTTGAGATATCTTCTGGGTAGTTACTGTTTTTCCTCTTCCATATATCTGTTTGAATCTCTATCAACCTTGAGGTTGATGATGATTCAAATGTTTGACTTTGTAAGTACAGATGAGCTGTTGACTAAAAGCTGTTTCTTGAATCTTTTTTTAAAACCAGGAACCAAAACTGTATGCTGAAGATGGTTCAGTGGACTTTCATGGAGACCCACCATTGAAGGAGAAAACAGGCAACTGGAAAGCTTGTCCTTTCATTTTAGGTACATTTTGTTTCATTTCAATTTCTTACAAAACTTATTCTTCTTTGTGTCTTAACATTTTGAAGATGATGTTTTTTAATGTGTAGGTAATGAATGCTGCGAGAGACTAGCTTACTATGGTATTGCTGGGAATCTAATCACTTACCTCACCACTAAACTACACCAAGGAAACGTTTCCGCTGCTAGAAACGTCACCACATGGCAAGGCACTTGTTATCTCACCCCTCTCATTGGAGCTGTCTTAGCCGATGCTTACTGGGGCAGATACTGGACCATCGCTTGTTTCTCCGGCATTTACTTCATCGTAAGCACCTTTTTCCAATACCTCTCTTTAAAAACAAGACTTAGCTATAGCCTAGGTTTTACTTTAACTACCATTGGACCGCCTGTAGCAGATTATAGCTAAGTATCTATGTTGGATAGAGAGCAGTTAGTAAGGCCACTTTACTGGTTGGTTCTTACCATACAATAGCTTTGGGGTTTGAGTTGTGGTTTTGTTTGCTCTGTTTCAGGGGATGTCTGCACTAACTCTTTCAGCCTCAGTTCCAGCACTGAAACCAGCTGAATGCATTGGCGGTTTCTGTCCATCAGCAACACCAGCTCAGTACGCAATGTTCTTTGGCGGGCTCTACCTCATCGCCCTCGGCACTGGAGGCATCAAACCATGCGTCTCATCCTTCGGTGCAGACCAGTTTGATGACACTGACTCTCGTGAACGAGTTAGAAAAGCTTCCTTCTTCAACTGGTTCTACTTCTCCATCAACATTGGAGCACTAGTCTCTTCTAGTCTCCTTGTCTGGATTCAAGAGAATCGCGGGTGGGGTTTAGGTTTCGGTATACCAACAGTGTTCATGGGACTAGCCATTGCAAGTTTCTTCTTTGGCACACCTCTTTACAGGTTTCAGAAACCTGGAGGCAGCCCTATAACTCGAATCTCCCAAGTCGTGGTCGCCTCGTTCCGTAAATCAACTCTTAGAGTCCCTGAAGACGCAACGCTTCTATATGAAACGCAAGATAAGAACTCTGCTATTGCTGGAAGTCGAAAAATCGAACATACCGATGATTGCCAGTAAGTTTCATCTTCTTTCTTGGAATGAGGAGCTCTGCTTTGTTTAACATGGTGTCACTATATGATGCAGGTATCTTGACAAAGCTGCTGTTATCTCAGAAGAAGAATCCAAGGCCGGAGACTTTACCAACTCGTGGAGGCTATGTACCGTTACACAAGTCGAAGAACTCAAGATTTTGATAAGAATGTTCCCTATCTGGGCTTCAGGTATCATCTTCTCAGCTGTATACGCACAAATGTCTACAATGTTTGTTCAACAAGGCCGTGCCATGGACTGCAAAATAGGATCTTTCCAGCTTCCTCCAGCAGCACTGGGGACGTTTGACACAGCTAGTGTCATCATCTGGGTTCCACTTTACGACAGGTTCATCGTCCCATTAGCTAGACGGTTCACTGGAGTAGACAAGGGTTTCACTGAGATACAGAGAATGGGGGTAGGTCTGTTTGTCTCTGTTCTTTGTATGGCAGCTGCAGCCATTGTCGAGATCATACGGCTTCGTTTAGCCAATGAGTTAGGACTAGTGGATTCTGGAGCTCCTGTTCCTATATCTGTGTTATGGCAGATCCCACAGTACTTCATCCTCGGTGCAGCGGAAGTGTTTTACTTCATAGGGCAGCTTGAGTTTTTTTATGACCAGTCTCCTGATGCGATGAGAAGTTTGTGCAGTGCTTTGGCTCTTTTGACTAATGCTCTTGGGAACTACTTGAGTTCGTTGATCCTCACGTTGGTGACTTACTTCACGACTATGAATGGTGGAGTAGGTTGGATATCGGATAATTTGAACACGGGTCATCTTGATTACTACTTCTGGCTTTTGGCTGGGCTTAGCCTTGTGAACATGGCGGTTTACTTCTTCTCTGCGGCTAAGTATAAGCAGAAGAAGGCTTCGTAGTGATAATGTTGTTTGTTTTATCTCTCCTTTCATTACATACAAAGTTTGTTTCTTTTCATGTGTAAATTCTCCGTCTGTTTTTCAAGAACAGTTGTTGTGTATTCGTTTCTTTCATCAAATTCCAAAAAGTTTCACATTTGCTTTTTCAGTCTCCTAAACAATAAGTCAATAATCCTCTAAATTGTGTAGTGTTATTAGTATATTTATCTATACAAGATTGTAAGTTAAAGATTTTGAAAATACATATGTTTGTTTGAGAAAACCACCTAAAAAGATATTATCAAACAATTGGTTTTGCACTTAATGTTGTTCACAAAAAAAAACAATTGAATGTTAAATAAATTAAATTAAAGTTCAAGATATTTTTTTTTTGCTGTGTACCAAAAACCATTTCCTCGTGCAAAGAATACAAATATGAATAATTTAGCATGCAGCGTTAGAATCCACCATCAGTAGGAGATTGATGTTGTTTAAAACTCAATCCGTTTTCACTTAACTAGGTGTTTTGCCCACCATGCGGGCTTAAGTGTTTTATAATTATATATACTAATTAAATATATTACTAATTAAAATTATAAGCATATATTATTATTTGTGTTTTCATTTTGAAAATTTTTCATCTTAAAATTATTCAAATATTATTTTTTAAATTATAAAAAATTATGAATTTTAATTAATTAATATTTAATTATTTATTTTCTGTTTTTGAATTTTTAAATATTTTATTAAAGATAGCTTTCCGATAACAATACAATATATATATGAATTATCTATTTAAAATAAAAAGATATTTTTGGATTTGAATAACTCTTATTGTTATTGTTTAAAATAACTTATCTAATAAAATAAATTTATATTTGTTTTTATATATAATTAATTTATATAATTTATTCATTAATGGTATAAACGATATTAACCGCGCTAACTTTTAACGTGGGAGCCCCGTTACGAAAAATCATTTTGCTTAAGCTTAATTATTTGTTAGTAAATATATTACTAATTAAAAATCATTTTCAAAATTTTTACTTTTATTAAAAATTATTCAATATTATCTTTTCAATTATGTAAAATTAAGAATTTTAATTAATTAATATTTAATTATTGTTTTCTGTTTTTGAATTTTTTTGTTTTCTGTTTTTGAATTTTTAAATATTTTATGAAAAGATAGTTTCAGATAACAATACAATATATATATAGGAATTATCTTTTTACAATAAAATATATTTTTGATTTTGGATAACTCTTATTTTTATTGATTAAAATAAATTATCTAATAAAATAAATTAAAATTCGTTTTTATATATAATTAATTTATATAATTTATTCATTAAGGGTATAATCGATATTAACCACTCTAACTTTTAACGTGAGAGCTCCATTGCGAATTACTGCATCTCCAAAAACACAATTTATTTTGAAGTTTTAAAGGTGTATTTTCCAAAATCAAAATTTCAAACATAACTTTAGTATTATTTCTATTTTATATAATTGTATTTATATTTGTTATGATTAATTTAAATCTATAAAACTTTTATAAATAACTCACATATGTACAAAATACTATAGTAATATTAATTAATAAAAGATTATACTAAAATATAAAACTTAATACAGAAATACATAATTAAATATTAAATTACAAGCAAAGAACCACATTATTCTCTAACACTATTTTCGTAAAACTCTTCTATATTATCAACTAGGTGTTTTGCCCGCCATGCGGGCTTAAGTGTTTTATAATTATATATACTAATTAAATATATTACTAATTAAAATTATAAGCATATATTATTATTTGTGTTTTCATTTTGAAAATTTTTCATCTTAAAATTATTCAAATATTATTTTTTAAATTATAAAAAATTATGAATTTTAATTAATTAATATTTAATTATTTATTTTCTGTTTTTGAATTTTTAAATATTTTATTAAAGATAGCTTTCAGATAACAATACAATATATATATGAATTATCTATTTAAAATAAAAAGATATTTTTGGATTTGAATAACTCTTATTGTTATTGTTTAAAATAACTTATCTAATAAAATAAATTTATATTTGTTTTTATATATAATTAATTTATATAATTTATTCATTAATGGTATAAACGATATTAACCGCGCTAACTTTTAACGTGGGAGCCCCGTTACGAAAAATCATTTTGCTTAAGCTTTTTATAATTATTTGTTAGTAAATATATTACTAATTAAAAATCATTTTCAAAATTTTTACTTTTATTAAAAATTATTCAATATTATCTTTTCAATTATGTAAAATTAATAATTTTAATTAATTAATATTTAATTATTGTTTTCTGTTTTTGAATTTTTTTGTTTTCTGTTTTTGAATTTTTAAATATTTTATGAAAAGATAGTTTCAGATAACAATACAATATATATATATAGGAATTATCTTTTTAAAATAAAATATATTTTTGATTTTGGATAACTCTTATTTTTATTGATTAAAATAAATTATCTAATAAAATAAATTAAAATTCGTTTTTATATATAATTAATTTATATAATTTATTCATTAAGGGTATAATCGATATTAACCACTCTAACTTTTAACGTGAGAGCTCCATTGCGAAAAATCACTTCGCAAATAATAGTATAGATTTGTTATTGTGAGTAAAATTTTCATTTTTAAATAAGTGTCGTTTTATAATTTCAATACAAAATTTATTAATTTTGTATGTTATTATATTTTTCTGTTGATTGGAAAGTGATAAAGTATATAAAAAAAATCGTGGGTTTTATTTTTGAAAATATGTAAAATTAAATGTTTTTTAATCAATGTGTAAAAGTTGTTGTCAAAAAAAAAAAAACAAAAAAAAAAGACCAATGAATTAAATTTTGGGCTTAGTATAATCAACTGAGCCCATTTACAACGGGCCGAATATGACCCGAAACAAAAAAGCTGACAGTGTCCGGGTCAAGCAAATCGGAGCCACCAAAGAGAAATAGGAGACATTGAGAGGGTTTGGGTAGAGAGAGGGGGAGATCGCGAGACGACGAGAAATGGAGGTTCCAGGTTCATCGAAGAAGATGATCGCAACGCAGGAAGAGATGGTCACAGCAAAAGTACCTCTCGGTTACAGAGATCAGTGCGCTCATCTCCTGATTCCGCTCAACAAATGTCGCCAGGCCGAGTTTTTCCTCCCGTGGAAGTGCGAGGATGAGCGACACGTGTACGAGAAGTGCGAGTACGAGCTCGTGATGGAGAGGATGCTCGCGATGAAGAAGATCCGTGAGGAAGAGGCCAAGGCTAAACAGAATAAGTTACAAGGGAGTGGTGTTCCTCTTATCCCTAAAACCGCTAATGCTTAGCCGCCCGTCCTTGATTCGATCTTTCGGCTTCCCGGTTAGTGTCCGGTTTTTTAATTGGTTGGGTGATTTGATTGAATTAGATTTGTGTTTATGCAGTGGATCGGATTTAGGGTTTCGTTTGCGAATTGAATGAGATTGTTTGGTGCTTTATTTCATTTGACTACTATTTGATTCAATTTTTAGGAAAGAGACTTCGTTTTGTATCAATCCTGCTAGAGAAATATCTGGAATATGTTGTTTTTTTCAATAATTTTTGGTTTTGTAAGCAATCTCAATGAGTGATATCTCGAGTTTGGATAATAAGCCTGGTTCCGTTATTGACTCGATTCTCTGCAGGTTTTGTTAGGTTTAGATTCATGTTGTTTTTGTTTTGGACTCGAAAGCATAATATATTAGCACTATCAATGTGTGAGCTTGTAAGTTGTGTCATGGCTATAGTTACTTTGTGTTATTTGTTATAACTCCTTAGGAAGCGTTGTGAAGTTACATCCCGCGTTGAACACTTAGCTCTTAGTTATAGATTCTGCAATAAGATACACTCCTGAGAAACCTTTAGGTACTTTTTACTAAGCCGGAAAAAGGGATTTCGCTGATTAACAATAACAAGACACAGCTCAATTTGCTAGACTCACTTATGGGCTTTGAATGTCTTAAGCTTGGTCATTGTAGTGAGCTTGTGAATTGTATCACAGATACCATGGCTACAGTCATTTCGTGTTACTTGTTAAATCCTTATGAAGAATCACAGCACGCACTACTCTGTGTCTGAACTCTGAACATCTCCTATTTTAAAGATTTTGTTAGAAGATACACTCATTTATTTGGTGGATTATATATATATACTTTCATATAGCATGTATTAAGAACATACACTCCTCTGAACATATAAGTTGATTTATGTTCTCTCACTTCTAGGCTTGCAAACTCTTATGCTTGTCAATGTGTGTGAACTTGTAAACTTTGTCTTAGATATTGTGGCTACTGTCACTATGTGTTACGTATATGAAATCGTATTGTGAAATTACAGCACTCACTACAGATTTGGGTCTGTCTCTGAACATTTTCTGGTTTAAAGATTTTACAAAAAGAAGATACTCACACTCCTTGATTTGGTGGATTGATATACATAATAGTATACTTCAGTCTGTGTCACAACAGCTACAAGAATATTCTCTTGATTTATATCCCTTCTCCTTCTCACTTACCATTGAGTACTACTCTTTACATATTTGTGTGGTTCTATCCTTTTTTCATGTTGTTCATTTTCCTTTTTGCCACTATGATTTGACAGCAATGTGTGTGTTTCTGCCCTAAAGAGAGTCCCCTGGTTTAAGATTCTCTAACATGCCAATGATTTTGTTTCACCTGACACTCTTATCCATTCTTCTTCTGTCATCTAATTCATACTCTGAAATATTTGGACAGGGATTCTCTGACGGTGGGGCTCTGCTTTTCAGTATTTTGTTCTTGTTGGTGATGAAAAATTTGTTGCTACATTTTCAAAGATTATCTTCCTTTTCGTTTTTTTGTCTTCCTCTTGTTTAACTTGTGAAACTGTTTCACATAAAAAATAAGACGCAAACACTCATCTTTTCTGTTGGTTTCCTATCTTTAACCTCTGAGAAAGAAAGAAAATTAAACATGTTATGTATAATATAAACAATTAAATTTATTCAGCCAATTTTGCTATAATATAAACAATTGTTTTCTCTAGGTTCCACATTTTCAACGAATGGAATGAGAAAAAAAAATGGAATGGGAGAATAAAAGAGGTTATGCTAAGCAAACAAATCAAACCTAACTCCAATCCTTGAAGGATGAAAAGCCAAGAGTTGCTTGGTCCCACTTTCCAATAATTATGCACTTACTACTCTAAACCTTTTCACATAACCATGCACGTCTATAATGTAGTATATTTTTGTTGTGTATTACTATTAGTACATTTTTCTGCCTTTATAATTTGTAATTAGATTAATAAGTTGTGGCCCATCCATTCCTAAACTATTAGTACATTTTTCTGCCTTTATAATTTGTAATTAGATTAATAAGTTGTGGCCCATCCATTCCTAAATCACACTTTTAAACTACTCTCTTTCACTTTTGTTCTTGTGTTTACTATTCTCAAGTGTGGAAGTCTAACTTCTCCGTTCTCTCTAGGTGTTTTATGGATTATACCTTTTACATTATTTCTTTTTTTTAGGAACTTGCCTTGTTCTTGCATGTGCTATGAATCTATGATTGAACTGTGATGAGAAAATTGACCCAAGAGAAAAAAATAGTGATATTAAAAGTTATCAATTATACATATAGTTTGGTAAGATTTGCACATGAAAATAACAAAATAAAAAAGGACGAAATAATTTCATCGTTTTAGAATCCAAAATCCAGTTGGGTTACATTATCTTACATATATGTAAAAAGTCTTGGTATAAAAAAGAAACAACCAAACAAAGAGAATTATTGACTGTTTTGATTTTGGTAAAGGCCATGAATTATGGACCTATGCAGTCAATTTACTCTTTCAATTTCTCTTGGTGCTATTTGTCTACTGCAACACGCATTTAATGTATTGAATATTTTTGCCTTCCATCTGTTCTTCTTTGTTTATCACTGAACGAAATTACCAGGTTACACAGTATCTGAATATGTTCTCTTTTACTGTGTGTGTGTTATAAAGTTTTTGTATAGTCTAAAGGCGAAAGAACGTTGATTTAAAATTATTGGTCAATTTGGCATACGAAAACTCAGTACGTTAGTTAATACTTATATTACATACCTTATTTTTTTTTGTTTTTTTTTTTTTTTGTAACACTTATATTACATACCTAGGAAAAAAAATTAGGGGCTAGCTCAGCAATCTATGCAAATCTCAATTTAGGCTTCAAACTTCTTCTTTTTTTGGAAAAAGGGCTTAACTTTTAAAAAATTTGGATGCTAAATCTTTTTTTAGAAATACAAGGCTACCAATTTTAAGCTTTAACCTTTTTCTGAAATTTTGTTATGCAAATCGACACAGTAGATCAGTGATTAAAATAATCCATTTTAAAATGGAATGTCTCTATTTGATTATTTATTTCGATCAATGATCGTAACCTATATAGGTGTCTGTAACTTTATTTTGGCCAATATATAGATATATACGTATTTCATGTGCCTTTGAAGAACTGGTGACTGAATATCGTATTTAAATACCGTCTACCAGAGCCGGTCCTAGAATATTTAATACTGGAAGCAAAAAAAAATATGTGGCCGGAATTGTAGCTGCTGTTGGTCGAACCCATGACCAACAGCAGCTAGGAAAAAAAATTACATACCTAGGAAAAAAAATTAGGGGCTAGCTCCGCAATCTATGCAAATCTCAATTTAGGCTTCAAACTTCTTCTTTTTTTGGAAAAAGGGCTTAACTTTTAAAAAAATTGGATGCTAAATCTTTTTTTAGAAATACAAGGCTACCAATTTTAAGCTTTAACCTTTTTCTGGAATTTTGTTATGCAAATCGACACAGTAGATCAGTGATTAAAATAATCCATTTTAAAATGGAATGTCTCTATTTGATTATTTATTTCGATCAATGATCGTAACCTATATAGGTGTCTGTAACTTTATTTTGGCCAATATATAGATATATACGTACTTCATGTGCCTTTGAAGAACTGGTGACTGAATATCGTATTTAAATACCGTCTACCAGAGCCGGTCCTAGAATATTTAAGACTGGAAGCAAAAAAAAATATGTGGCCGGATTTGTAGCTGCTGTTGGTCGAACCCATGACCTGAGGATGGAGAGTGTTGTGCGTATTACCACTAGACCAAAGGGACAATACAAATTATGTGGTCGAAACTTAGTCATAAAATAAACGGCCGCAAGCAGTTGCTTCACCCGCTTGATGCTAGGGCCGGCTCTGCCGTCTACTCAAACATTAACATTTTCTGAGCCATGAGCATTGTTTAAAGTTATATTAAATCATTACAACGATTTGGTATATGCAGAATTTCACATGTTTATAATGATATACATAATGTGCATAAATGAGAAGAAAGGAAGAGTATAGTAGTCTACAATAACGGTCAATGACCTATTATTTGATTATGTCTGATATATGTTTTCTATGGTTTATGTTTTCTCCTTGGGTAAAGGTTTTATTGTGTAGAATAGAGACGACGACTTGGTAAGTGACAAAAAAAAAAAAAAAAAAAAGATTGACGACTTTGTCTGGGCATCCAGATCCTCGGGTCGGGTTAGAATAGGATCTTGCTCGGGTCTGGATCTTTCAGGTTTTGCATATTTGTACCCGTAAAAATGTCTATAATTTTTTGAGCTGGTTCTGGATCTTGTCTAGTCCGGATTGGTTCAGGTCTATAATTTCAATACTCGTAAAATACACATAATTTTGAGTATATTTTAGATACGAATCGGTTTGGGTATATAGGATCCAAGTATCCAAAATAGACGCGAAAATCTGAAAATTTTCCAAAAAACCGCCAAAATATCCGAATATACCCGAAATTTATCAAAATCAGACCCAAAACCTAAAAAATACCTGAAATTTTATCCAAATATCCGAATTATATTTTCTAAAACTATAAAATTTTACACGAAACCCAAAATTATACCCAAAAATCCAAATCTGAGAATTTTAAAAATATCCAAAATATTAAAAATATACTCAATCACCTATATATACCTTATATATACAATAATCCGCAGGTATTTTAATTGGGTCTTGAGTAGAATCCGGATCCGATCTAAGACCCATGGGTCCAAATAAAAAGACCCAATATATACTTTGTATAGACTTGGACCCGAACCTGTAATTTTGGGTCTGTTCCAGTTCGGGTATTCGCGTCTGAAATGCACAAACCCAGAGACGATGACTTTGTTCAATTTTATTTATTTTAAAATTTTATTCTGTTAAATTAGTATTCATTTGGATTTGCACTTCTCGATACCACATCGCCACGTGTTAGCAGTCTTATAAATCAGTAATCAAATCTCTTATATATTATTTGCGCAGTGATTTTGATATGTATCTTCACCATAATCATTTTTACCAAAAATAATGACTTGTCCATTAATAATAATGACATGGTTTGGATTTAATTGTGACATGTATATTGTTAATATATAATTTTGTAAGTTGTTAAAATATGGTAATAATTCATAAATTATCATTACCATAACAATAAATAATATAATAATAGAAATATAAATAGAAGAATATTTACAAATTTTGATATATTTTCAAGTCTATTTTTTATAATTATATAATTTTTATTAACATTTTTTCAAATTTTATGCGGATTTTATAAAAATTATAATTTTCAATCCCAATATTGGTAGTTTTATTTATAACATCTATAAATTTTAGACATATTATTTAATTTTATATTTTGATAAATATATACTTAACAAAATTTTATCTTAGTTGTATAGAATCTTATTTAACATATTTTAACCCACAAAAACGATAAAAAAGAAATCCAAAATTTTAATTTTAAATATACATATATATTGTTAAATATAAATTTAAATAAAAAAAATTATTTTATCTTAATTTTTACTTATAATTAACCTAAAATTAACAATATAACAAAATAATAAGTTTAAAATTAATTAAATTTTCTTTTTAAATATAATTTTCTTTGTAAAGTTTTCTTTTTATCCATAGTGCAGAAAAACACCTAGTGATAGTAAAATATAATGAACTTTGTTACGGAACTAGTACGTGGAAGGATATGTCCAAAATGATATTTATAAGACGTGTAATTTAGTCGGACAGAATTTGAGTAATCAACATTAAAATGATAAAAAAAAATATAATGAACTTTCTAACGAGTTATTCTTAGGTTTATCCCCTAGGATGAACCTTCACCATCCAATAAAATTGCATTATTACATATTTGATATCTTTAAAAAAAGAAACAAAATTTTGTTAGGTTATATTATGTTTTTAAGAATAAAATAAAGAAAAATTAAAAAAAAATAATAATAATTATTAAAAACGAAGAATTAGTGAACATAGAGGGTGAACCCAAGAATTAGTCATTTCTAACGGAGCTATTACCTCTACGAATCTCTCCAAAATGATATTTATAAGACATGTAATGTAGTCGGACGGTGTTGATAAAAGAAGAGACTGAAATTATGCATATGCTTTATATAATTGTTTCAAGGGATGTTTCAAGTATTATCAAAAGCAATAACTTATTCGGGACAAGTGACCCTATATCATTAATTTAATTGAATCCCTGGTTGGAAAACTGGTGAAATGAGGAATTATCCTGACCTAACACATGATTTGTCATCGAGATGGGTCCCAGAGTATGTGGTTCGTTTATAATTTTGGAATAACAGTAAAAAAAGAATTTGATGTATTACTAGAATTCTTTGATTCCCAGCATTAATATAATATGACAAAATGGAAGAAAACATATAATAGAGAATTAGGAGGGGAATGAAGTCAAAAGGGTAGTCCAAAAGATATTACGAAGGACCATTGTAAGTTTCTGAAATCAGAAAGTTAAACACATAACCCAACGAAGAAACAAAAATAGGAACAATTATTAATGCTCTGGTCAAAGCTTAGCAGCAGCTGACCTATAAATTTGGGGTCTAAAACAAGCATATGGTGAAAAGAGCGAGTAAAGTCTGATGAAGTGTTAGACGAAACTTGTTCATTTGGGTAAATCCCAAATCCCTACAAGGTAAAAATATTATAGAACCATGTGTAGGCAAGAGATTAGTATTGGATGATCAAAAGTAGTCAGTTCTTTTTTTGCATGCAAGTTGTAGTTAGGGGTGGGCACGGATCGGATATCCGGGTTTTTTAAGGTATTCGTGATTTGCTTCGAATGTTACGAATATCTAATTTTGGTATTTGCTTTGCTTCGAAAAAATACGGATATCCGGAAAAACGGATATCCGGAAAATAAATAGATATTTGCGGATATTTACGAATATTTACGGATATCTCATCCATTTTAATTAGTACAAATAATCTTAAGATTTTGATACAAATTTGGTTTGCAAAAATATTTTTTTGCATGATATATAAAATAAAACTTAAAAGAACTAATGAATTTACAGATTTTGTAATTTTTTAAAGTTTAAGTTACAATTATAATAACACAAAATTTAAGAAAAAAATATAATTGTCAAAAATATTTTATCTCTTTTTATGTAATACTTTTATATAAGTAATAATTTGAATAGAATTGTTCAAAATCATGTGCTAAATTAATAATTTTATAATTTTATACAATTAAAATTTTAAATATAATCAAAATATACATATATTTATATATTTACGGATCGGATCGAATATCCGCTTTCCAAAATTTTAATATTTGTGATTTGCTTCGATTTTAACGGATATTGAATTTTAGTATTTGCTTTGATTCGAAAGTTTACGGATATCCGGAATTTTCGGATCGAATCGAAACGAATAACGGATCGAATCAAATATAACGGATAAAATGCCCAGCCCTAGTTGTAGTATTATAGCCTTGTGTAGGTATCTGGTACGTTGATATGCAGTGATTCTCTCTTTAAACTATTTAATATATTTAATAATAATGGAGTCAAGAGTCAAGGCTACTGATGTAACCAATTAAAGGCCAAAACGATTTTCGTATGATACCATTATTGTAGATTACTATATCCTTGTAGCTAGGTCAAAAAAAAACACATTTCACCTCGTTTTCTTAATAAACAAATTTATAAAGTAACAAATAAAAACATTCCAGCTGGTTATTTTGTACCTTTAATAAACTGTTATACCAAAATTTGTCTTTACTAGATTTAATTCTCACGTATGTCATACACAATTCATTAAAAAAAAATGATTCTAGTTTTTTTTGTCTACTTATGCTTTTAACTATTTTCAGTGTATAATATGAAGGTAAAATTACATTAACACAGTTTGGGTTTTAGTATGGGTCAAATTTTGATTTGTAAATACAATAGACCAAATTGTGTTAATGTGGCCCTTTTTTCAAAAAAAAGAAATTGTGTTAATGTGTTTTATACACCTGGTAAGTAAAATTAAATTTTACTTAGATTTTGAACATTTCGAAATCCAAACTATATATATCAAACAAAATCCAAAATATATCGAAACTAAAACCAATTAAAATCCTAGTATCAACACAACTACAATGGAATATCCTGCAAACAAAAATGAAGGAACCTTTTCTAAAAAGTTCTAATAATAATTATTTTTTGGCATTTTGCAGATATATATGTATGTATATACATGTATGAGTGAGTGCATCCAAAAAGACAAAGAGAATAGATGGAAAAAGAGACAGTCATCTTTTAGAAAAAGCCAAAACCATTTCAGAAAACAAAAGAAACTTACTCTTTTAATTCCAACACATACCCACAAATCCTCTCTTAACGTTGTTTCTCTGTCTCCTGTTCTTGGTTTCTGTGTTCCAAATCGAAAAAGGGTTTCTTAGGGTTCTTGAGACTGATTTGTAAGAAAATGGGTAAATGTGGTGGACGAAACGGTAACGACGGTGGGTTTAACGGTCAAGGAGGCGGCAGAGTTAGGCCGTACGTACGGTCTCCGGTGCCTAGACTCAGATGGACACCGGAGCTCCACCGTTGTTTCCTTAACGCCGTCGATATGCTTGGTGGCGCACATCGTACGTTTCTTTTTCTTCCCTTAAACTTTCGAGAAAAAATATGCAACCTTTTGTTATTCAAGTTCTTGAAGGAAAGCTTCACACTTTTTGTTACTTTATTTCAAGTTTTTGAATTTTTGGATCTATTTTAAAAACAGTTTGGAATTTTCTCACTGTTTATCTTCACACCTTAGTCAAGTGTTTTTACTAATTTGTTTCATCCATGTCTAAAAGTCTGGATTTTTTTGCGGAACTTATAAAAAGTATGAACATTTTTATCATTGTGTCTTCATTATCATAAAGAATCATCTTGGTCAAGTTGTTGAACGATGCCTTCACACTTTTGTTACTTTTTTTTTCATTCATATGTTTAAAGATTGGAGTATTTTTTGGAATCTTTTTTTTGGTCAACATAAAGAATCATCATGGTCACCTTTTAGTTTGCTTTTTGTCTGTTCTATTTGTATTGATGTTGGGTGTGATGAAACAGGAGCCACTCCAAAGCTTATTGTTAAGATGATGGATGTGAAGGGACTCACCATTTCACATGTCAAGAGCCATCTCCAGGTAATAGATTTACCCGAACGTTAGTTTTTGTTCTCTTTTTAGCCTTATCTTTTTCAATAGTATCTTGAATATTAAATCACTTTTTCTCGTCCTTTCTTCATTGCATACAACAGATGTATAGAGGTTCTCAACTCACTTTAGGGAAACCAGGTATGGATTTTTTATTTTTGGATACATATTCTGAAATGTTATGATTTTTCAGAAGAATTGGACCGTTGATTTTAATCTGAACTGTTAACATCAAGACTATAATAATGGATTGAATTTAATTGTTTTACTGCATCTGTTTGTAGTATGTACTATTCATAAGACAATTGTTATAAATGCATATATCTGTTTTTAAAATTACAAAATATTTGTATAGATCAAGGGAATATCGATTATAGTCATAGCCTAATTTTTTATATATTTTTTATATCCATTTTTGGGGATAGAGGAAAGCTCTTCATCTTCAATAAGAAGAAGACAAGACACTGATGAAGATTATCTTCATGACAACTTGTCTTTACCCTCGAGGAATGATTGTCTTTTGGGGTTTCACTCTTATCCTCTTTCTTCACATTCTTCTCCGAAATAATTACACTAAAAGACAGTTTTAAGTTTTTTATATCAGAATAAGACAGTTTATACTACAGACACACTTTTTCCTAACTTCAACACATCTCGTTCAATTTTGCAAGTTATAACATAACTCTATTGTAAGTGGTAGGACCCATTTTCCTCTCTTTCTTTTATCTTCTTGATCTACTATTTGTCTTTCTCTTATCTTTTCTTCCTTTTTCTCTCAAAATTTTTCAGCTTTTCCATTTTAAAATCTTTGATTTTCAATTCTTTTTTTCTAAAGATAATCTCTACAAAATTCAGATTAAGTCACGAATACAAAACCGATTTATCATCACAAACCATAATTATCTTTCTTCTACACATATATTTTTTTCTGTAATATATCAAGACCGATGAGAAGCTTCAATATCATGTCCTCAGCCTTTTTTTCATGGTGTCCAAAGAGAATTTCGTGGTGATATCATCCTCTCTTCGTGCCTCTGGTGGACCGTAAAAGGAAGTCACCGCTGCATCTGAAAAATTGAATCGCCATTGTTGAATCTTGAAATTAAATTTCTTTAATTTTCATATGTAGTCCTTACATTTTTAAATATTTTCACTATTACCCTAAAACTTTCAGATTTGAAAATAAGTCCTCTTCAATTAACTTGAAATTTTCATTTTAAACCTTATAAAATGAAATGAACAAATAAATGTACCAAAAACCTCTAAATGCATCTTTTTAGTAACTATATTCAAAATCATTAAAATTATTAAATATCATAATTTGAGAAATGTACAAATGAGTCTGTCTACATCTATCACTTCATATAATATTGTACACATGTACAATATAATATATGTGTACACGTTGACGATATTTGTGTGCTCATTTACACATACGGAGGCTAGAATGCATATTTGAAAGTTTGGATCCAAATAGCAAAGATTTATTTGCAAATCAAAAATGTATGGGGAATAAATGAAATAAAACGACGTGACATGGACCAATGAGGCAAAAACAAATTGGTCCAGATAGCACATTTAAAAGTCTCTAAGCAACATAATGAAGAAATTTGAACATATTAGAAGTTTGAGACAAATTGGACAAGTTATTTTGTGTACACTTAATGACGAGTACACGTGTACATTGAAATGAATCAATATACGTGAAGAAATTGTACACCCATAGGTGAATTTGACGATTGCTTATCAAAAAAAACAAAATACATAATAAATAGATTAAGTCAAACTGAAAATGGTGTACATGACAATATGTGTACACATGATTTTGTGTGTCATTCATATCTACTGATTTTTAGGTTTTATTTTAGTTTATTTACTTTCTAATGCATTTAATTATGTACATATATTGCTTAATTATTTTAGTTTTAACAGAGGATTGTAATATATATAGTTGGTTAATTTCGAGCTAAATCAAAGATATAATTGTTTATTTTTAAAAGTTTTTGGAGGCAAAAATGAAAGCAAAAAAGTTTTGGGTAAAAAACAAAATTATACAAAATTTTAAGGACCAAAGGTGAAAAAAAAACCAAAAATGGCCATTGATATTTTCAAGCTTCTACAGCATTGTGACGGCGAGAGAGATGAAGTCAATAAGCCGGGAAAAATGTTGAAATGGAACAAAAGAGATGACGAGATGAATCAACGCATCGGGAGAAATGACAAAGAAAGAGACGAAGAGAAGTATTTGGGGCAAGAGATTTGTTCAGATGAAGACTGTGCAACAAGAATCTGACCAAATAATCTTAGAAAGACCAAGTCTTCATCTTTATCCTCTTTTATCATTTTAAAGTCATTGTTATTCAGATTCTTTTGTTAGGAGAATGAATTAAAAAAAAAGTTACGAAGAGAGAAAGAAGATACATTAAAACTGTGGGGTCTATTTTGTTAGGAGAATGAATTTAGTTAGTTTGTAGTTACAAAAAACTACCTCAATAGCATAAACTGCCCTATAGTGTTATTAAAAACTCAAAACTGTCTTACAATGTAAAAAACTCTTCTTCTCCAAGGTAATTCTTTTTATTTATTTATGTTATATATAATTTCTGACATGTTATTAATTTTGTATCAGTAAAGCTATCATGATATACCCTTTTGTCTGTATTTGAATTTTCCTTTTAAATACTACTGTTTACTTTGGTACAGAGGAGGAAGAAGAGAGGAGCAGACTTCACAGTCTGGTGGTTATGATGATGATGACTTTCTTCACATCATGAACATGGAGAAGACGAATGAAACGACGGCGTTTCCATCACATCATCCACACGAGGTATATTTATTACTCATTTTTTTGTCAATATGTAATTCCACTACTGTATATCCTCATTATATACGTTTCTGATTTAATTTTGTAGTCTTAACCGAGATCAAAGTAAAACCGGATCTTATTCGATTTATTATTTGTTTTCTGATTTGATCTTGGACACTATTTAGTTTGATTTGAAGTCCTAACCGGTTTGACTGAAATTGGGGTGAACTTTTTTAAACGATTCATGTCCGGTTTAGTGCGTATATAAGGGGGATTATGGTTTGGTTTGTAGTCTTAACCGGTTTGATTGAAACTCGGTGTTAATCTTGTCCGGTTAAGCTACTGATTTTCTGTCTGTTTTTTTTTATTTTTTTTATTTTCTGTCTGTTGGTTTCATAGAAAACAGAGAAAGAGATGAACAAAGGGGAAAACACTTGGCAAGAACAAAGAGAGGAAGAGTTGTCGTTGTCTCTGTCTTTGAATCATCATCAATGGAGAAGCAACGGATCATCAGTGAGCGAAACGACGAGTGAAGTAGTCTCCACATGTTCTGCACCATTCGTCTTCAAAAATTGCTTTGCTTCTTCTTCACCAAAGATTGATCTCAACCTTACCCCCCTCAGCAGCTGAAGATTCAGTCAACAAAATATTTGTTTGCTTAGATTAGTCCCAGAGATGATTTTGCTGTGAAACTACTAGGATTTCATTTTTTCAGAGATTTAAAGTTAATGGAACAACTCTTGAAAAATGAAATTTGTGGGAGTCGATTTCACCCTACTGTCAAATAAATCGTAAAAAAGGAAACTTCGGGAAAACCCTAAGTTTCCAGAGGAACCGGCTATCTGCGAGAACCGCACAACGAAAATAAGATGACGAAAATACTTAGAATTAAAATGAGAATAAACGAAAACAGAGAGCAAAGAGGTTCTTATTCCGAATCTGTGTAGAACTGGTACAAAAAGAATTGCCGAAAGCGTAAGAACTAGAAAACCCTAATTGAGACGCAGCTCGCTAACAGAAAAACGGAAAGATTCCTAAATGCTAGTTTTGGTGGTGAGAGCTCTGAATTTTCGTGTCTCTTTGCTT